CAACCGTTTTTCAATGGCTCTCTGGTTTCAATGATAATTATGATGGTGAAAATTTTATTTGAAAAATTATCAACATGACAGACCTTTGCTTTGTTGAACGGGGATTTCACGGAAATCTTCACCCGTAATCCAAAGAACTGGGCATCCTCCCATATTCAGCGTTGTTTATACTTTCACAACTAACTCCTATAATAATAACACATTTTGTACGGTGATTTCAAGTAAGATCCAAGCGCTTTCTGTTATTTCTACCCCACTCAATGGGCCCATAAAAACATCCAATATACCATCTCAGCTCCCTGAGGAATATACAGCTCCATACAGCAATTTCGGCGCAAAGCAGCTAAATCAAACACAACAGCTATCTCTGCCCTCACTGGTACCCAATTACTCCAGGGTGGGGGAAAGCAATGAGTGGATGGCAAAGTGCCTTGCCTAAGTGCATGCGCTACCATGACACCAGGCTGGACTCCAACCCGCAATCCTGTGGCTAAATATGCCCGCCGTTTACGAATTACCACGAGGCTGCAGCTGCTTCTCACAGTCACGTGATGTCGAGTAGGCAAACAATTCACATTCAAAGCAGCTATGCAGCATCATGCTCTCAGATTCTGAGAGTTCCTCCCCCCCCCCAAAAAAAAAATCCTGGCTTCCTCGCCACTTCGTCTTCACTGTGCAGCGCCCGCCGACGCTGACATTCGACAAAAGGCCTATAGTGTCCGTAAACACTTTCAACATTTTTACCGAAGCTGATACACCGTCCAGTTGTCGGCCACCGTGATTCGAAACCCAGATAGCGGACACACCACGCCTGACTGCTTCCTTCGCGTCTTCAGCTGCAACGTGGAAATTGATACCAATTCGTAAATTATACATTTCGTGCGCATCGTTTCCCCATACCAACCAAAGACTACAGGATGCGGTTGTAACCCAAATGTCAAAAAGGGAACTTTTAAAAAATGGGTATTGGAAACTTTGGCCAATTACAAGGACATTGTCCTGGCGCATAATGTTTAACTCACCGGTTAGAATGCCTTTAAGAATGATTGGTAGAGATGTCATACTCTGTAGCCATGCTATGTCATCCCAGGTCATTGAAGGGTCAAAGGTCAATTTTGCAAAACCAAAATGAGGATCATTGGGAAGAGAGATAAGCGGATATCTGCAAAACAAATAAATGTTTGCATTGAGCACTGTTCAGTCAGAGCCAATTTTACACATTTCGTCACTAGGCTCATGATTTCATCGCCCTCATAATGGCGCGCACTGCGTTTTCAGCTACGCTTTCCCTTGGTAGTTGATCAAACGCTCCTTTTTTCAGTCTGAGTTTCTGCCCATTGCAAAGAAAAACGGACACAGCCATGCCAATATGGCTTTTAACATTGAGAACCAAATCAAAAGGTAACAGTCTTGTGCACCAATAATGACCACAATAAGATAAACCATCATTGTGGTTTATACTTATGACTGATTATGATCAATTCATATGCAGTCCCCTTCCATTGTTGGAAAGGCAAGGGTGGTATCTTGTCCCCCAAAGTGGCCATGATTTGAGAAATTAAACCCTATAAACTTTTACAATGTAAATACTAAGGTATGTCATACCCGACTGACATTTTCTGCCAAGAATCATGTCTCTCAGGTACAAATTAAATCCATGGTGGTTCTTTTGTACCTGTCCACTGGAAGGCATAACAGCTCATCACCTTGACAATAATTGTGAAAGAAAAACAAAGCATTGTGGACAGCAGAGATCAGTTCAAGTCATAGGTTCAAGCTTGCTGCGTCACGGCGCCCCTCTCAAGTTCTAAAGGGCAAATTCTGATCGAACGAAAGCTAGTCAACGATAGTTAGACTAGTCTATAGTCAACTACACTCTTAAACTCCCGGGTCAGACTGACTCAGAAATGGGTCCCATTCGGGATGACCCAGAAAGGGTCAAATACGAACCAAAAGGGGGTCATTTTTCACCCCGAAAAGGGTCACGCCGAATGGGACCCAATTCTGGTTCAGTCTGACCCGGGATGTATTAAAGTGTATTCGTGACCAGCCTATCGAGGTTGGTCGTATCATTAGTTACCATAAATCATTTTTAATAGCACAGTGCAGAGAGGACCAGTTATGAAAAAAATGCCGGAAGCAGTATGTCATTAGCAACCGACCGTTTTCACTGTAATTTTTGCTACATATTTTACCCTTCCTGCTGCCACCTTTTCTCCCATTCGGCCTAATGCCCTGACAAGGGTTCGCACTTCAACTTCAATCACTGCATATGTGCTAGGTACGTCGCCAACCAACAATTAACTAGTGGTCCATAATCAAACTTGCCCATTGACTACTGGCACTGGTATCTTTTATACTTCGTGAAGTATTCCACAATTCAACGCAAGAACATTGCAGCTTTTGACCCAGTTGGGCTCCTCGAGTAACCCAAGATCGTTCGTTTGTTACCCCATATTGCGCATGCTCGCCTATCAACCTACCGACATAAGGGATGAGCGCGAGAGAAGAATCAGATCACGTGCACCGCTCCGAAGGGTCATGGGAACTTGCGATGTTAAATACTCACTTTTAACCGCATTAATCTTCCGTTACCAATACTGACAATTTTATCATGTCATTTTTCGAACGTTCGTGTAATGGGGACTCAAGATACTTGCCCAGAACCATTACTTATAGGGGTGGTTCCCCGACAAATAAGAGTCTTTTCCTTTCTTACTTGGCCTGACTTCCATAGGAGTGTTTCCCCCTCTGTACTAATCTCAAACAAGAAACACTGCAGCTTGTAGACATCAGTTGTGCAAGAGCATGGGCTCAGGCATAGGCCAGCAGCAAGAGGGTGAACAGCTAGTTCTCAGGACCTGTCCTTTTGTATAGCAAGTTTACATGTTGGTCTGTAGAGGTGTTGGTTTCCTAAGCTTGAGTACTATAATATCTGCGTCTATTTACTGAGTGTTGTGTTGGTTAACCACTAGTAATTACAGGTCGTGTTTAAGGGCATAGGTTCACTAAACTATAGTCTTGCTCAAGTGTTGGTTTAATTCTGTGACATAATTACAAGTCTCGTTTAAAAGTCTTGGTTAAAGGTCTGGCCTATCCATTTTGTGTGTATACTTATATTTTTGGTTCACCGTTTAGTTTAAGGAATTTCTTCTATTAGTTTTTTGGTTGTGCAGACTGACCGAATTTCACTACTTTCACTACTACTGTTTGTTTTTTGAATGTCTCCTAGTTTCCAGTTGTCTTTTCCAGTGAATATCCTGCGACCCAACTTCTTACCGACCCTTATTAGTGTTATTGTTATTACTTTACTTTTGGTCAAGGTTTTCCCCGTTTGGTCGCACTGTGTTATTTTCTCAGGTTACATTCGCCCCTGGTCGGTAACAGCTTTTGTCCGTTACTTCATTATAAATGACATACTTTCAATACGCTTTTCACCAAGACTCCTTTACTGTCTTGTGCTTTGGTAGCTGTGAATGATTTTCAAACCTTTTGAAATATTCTCTTGGCATTGACAAATTAAGGAAAACGTTGATTGGCCAAGTTTTGTAGGAAGCGTGTACTGCAGCAGTAACAATGCACAATATGTATACTTACTTTAAATAATGGGGTTCGACAACTGGCTCAGCTAGCTGCCTGCCGATAAGTGGTTGATCAACCGTCAGCACAATGCCCTTCAAGCCTGCCTTCTCGGCTCGTTTTATTATGTGCTCGGTGTGCTCGACTGTTCGCTCCAAGGTTTGACGGTCGCAAAATACGTTCAGTTGTTGGAACAGCGGTGTTTCGGACGAAAGGGGGTTGGCTACGTCTTCCAAGTCTTTGCTTGAAAATATGCTCAGAGCCATTGCTGACCCAGCACTAGCCACGCCTATAGAAGTAACGATTTGCTAGTAAGGCTATATGAAATATAGAGTGACGTATGGATTAATGTTGCAACTAAACTGACCAGGGACATTAATTTTTCATAACACAGAGGTAGTGTGTCAGGCTTTGATAAGACACAAGATTTTTCGTATATGCAAATCTACGCTTAAATTAATAGTAATGAGGTATAATTTACACAAGTGAATTGATTGTATTGGAAAGAGGAAATTCAGCTCCTTGTTTTTATGTGCCACTCAATTTGATATCCAGATGAATGTGCATACTATGCATATGAAAAGTTTTGAGGGTTCCTAGTGCTTTACATTAAGACTTTAACTCAACAGTGTCTCTGGCGACTATCGTTTTGACAGAGCAGGTCACAATACATGTTACTTGATAATTATGGGCAGGGCATGCAATGTGCATGCACGAACGACAGCTGCAGTATGTTTCATACACGGTCCTACAGGTATATAATTTTCATTGCAGTTCTTGTGAATATTCTTTTGGGTCCCATTTATTTCATTTTCGATGTTTGTTGCACCATTCTCAGGGAATTTTTGTGTATGTCTTTTAACGTCTTCAGGCAAATTTAGAAAATTACAGAAAACACGTTTTGGAGTAAAATTGACATCATGGCCTTTTAAAACTCCAAACACCTTCATCCCTTGTTTCTCTCTCCCAAAAAACCTCCGAAGTACCGCTAACTCTACCAATAGGCCTAGGCCTATTCTGCCACTTTGAAAACAATAACTCGAGAATTTCTGTCTCGCACCGTGCCTGTGTTTTACCTTTAGCCGTGGCGATTTCTCCCTCGGGATGGACCATACCATGACAGGCTGTCGGAGAGACACCGACCGGAAAGTCTAGACGATGGCCCAATATAGTGGTGCTGAGGTCCCGCTTAGATACATCCCGCAAACAGCGAGGTCTTAGTCGATACCTGCATCAAGGATGGATGAAAAGCATTCATGGAAAGGAGTGAAATGTAAGTTTATGATCTACATGTACCAGGTACGCATTCAAAAAATGATTCAAACCGGCTCAAATCCAGAAATTAAAATGCAAACTCACTCGGAGCGGGTTTTGATATCGAGTAGACACCTAGCATTAAAATATTTTGTCGAACAACTGAATGAAAACAATAGACAACGAAGATACCGACGTACAGATCATCATCTCCTTTAATTAAATGTTTTTCTGATTTCTTTTGTTTTAATTCATTCACTGTTTATTGCAGCCTGGCGATACATTTCTAAAATGGCGGAGGGAGTTCAGTATGGCCAAAGATTATAATTTTAACATGACCATTTTATGGCGTGAAATTTAAGAACAGACCGTATTTGAATTCCTGACATAGGCCCTAACGTAATTCGATAAGCCCCTGTACGGATGACGTCACACTTTGTGTTTACATTTGCACATTAATGATATTCTTGGGTCAGTTTCCCGCGCTTATGGGCTAGCTTTGTGCAGTGCTAGCTCGTTTGTGCAGATATAAAGGAAAACGACGTCATGGCCTTGCACGCCCACCGTGACAGGGAAAATCTGCTAAACAAGTCTGACGCGCGTCAAACTCAAAGCCTTATCAGCAACATGTTCACTTTGACAAATAACGCAAAGCCAGAAATGCATTTCGGGAAGGAAAAATGAGTAAACATTGAACCTTCTTCCTTCCCACAATGCCTTTCCAGTTTCTACCATTGAGTAAAATCACCCATGCAGTATTTGCGATTAGGCTTATCCCACTGAGGAAGGAGTACAAATGAATGCTCAGTGTTAACAAATGCTATTCTTGCTCAATAGGGGCCTATGCGGTAAATCGATTGCCTTCTGCTGCTCCCTCTGTTGGCATTTTGGGAGAAGAAATCCACTTCGATTTGTTGCACGATTGCAACAACAAATTTCGGGATACATAATTCTATTATTTAGGAGGCTACAAAAAATTGCCGATTGCTTATTTTGCATCATTTTGAAACGGCGAAGAAACTTTGGTCTAGTCACAATATCGCACAATCAGCAACCAAAGCACTGTAGAGATACGTTTCTAGCATTATGGAGGAATGTTGCGAAAACACACCGGTACCCTCCCCTGGATGGCGGGACAGCTAGGCCACGCCAGGTCGCTATCACGGTTCGGCTTTATTCTTGCATGGCACACCTCGCCTTTGAATAATACACCCACACGGAAATAGCAGACGGCCAACGACGGGCGCATCTATCCAGTTCAAAGGTCGAACGTTCGAACGAGGAATTACTTTTGAAAAGCCAGTCCGTTGTCAGCCAAAGTCTGTTGGGCGTCTGCTCCCCGTCGGAAGTACTCCCACCACGTCCCAGGGACTTTTTTCTTCAGATACGGCTCAAAATCCTGCAGAATGAGCGCTTTTGATGTCATGATGACGCGTCCAAACGAGCTAAAAGCCCAGAGTACACTTCAGATCCAATTGTAGGCCTAGTTACTGTTGCAGCGAAACAAACTGGAACTGTCGGTGATCAAGGGTGTACTGTCTTGCAGCCGACGGTCATTTTATGACTGTCAAAATAGAGAAATATCATACTAGTTAATCTTACTTAACCTGTGGATGGACGCGGTCTGGGTACCAGAGCTATATATAGCCCTAATTCTAACTGGCCAGTCATCTATAGGCTATTATGCGCTACGGCATGCATCTTTACTTTGTGCTGATTGTCCATATATGCACTGATGCATAATCCACCTGAGTCTCCCACTTCGTACGCCGTCAGATGCCCAAGACGTCAGTGATCGATAGCTGATCGCCGCTCGTGAGCGAATTTTTTTTGTAAATTGGGACGCCCTCTATCGCACCAGTAGACTAAACTCGACCAGCTCGCACTAAGGGTACGGTACACTCCACTAATTCAAGACTCATTGAAAACAGTGTAAAATCAGCACTTCACAGGGCTCAATGACGTGCATCCCTAATCATTCATTTTCTTTTCAATTTTTTGTGGGTTAACCAATTACATTTTCAATTATTCCAACAAAACAAAATCACCCACCAAACAGTGATTTTTCCACAGTCTGATTGCAGCCATTTTTGAAGTGGCAACCCTCAACTTTCTTGAGCACTTAGGACCCTTTTTACCGTAGTTTTTAGCCATTCTGCTCTCATGTGTAAGCTCAAAAGCCGGGGAGTTGATCCTGGCAACGATTTACACAATCTCACCTTTTTGGGGGCCAAACAATCTCCTTTTTCAAAAGATACTGTTGGTGGGGGCACTTTTAATGCTAATGAGCTAGCCAGAAATTTCACTTGAATTAGTGGACTGCACCGTGAACATGCGTGTACTTTGTTGGCGCCTCTTGGTTATGGACGCTTTAGAGCGTCCTACTTTCCAATAGCCGACTTCGTTTCTGCCGCAGGTTTCGTCTGGTTTTTTTTTACCACCTTATTTCAAAGTTGTTAGCTCAATAGCAAGTCTGAAAGTGAAAGTGCTAAAGAAACCTGAAATAAAATTCAACAGAGCAAAGTATTGGTGTATTTCAATTTGATTTGAATTACGCCCCGGGCCTAAAAACGTGTAATGATTTTGGAAACGAGCCAAACAGCCCCGTTATCGTGAAGACATGTGACGCTGCAATATGGCTTGACTCAAAAGGTGGATTAGGGCCGGGGTCAGTGCACATGGACATTAAGCACAAAGTATAGCTGTATGCTGTACTGCACGGCCTATAGAGGACCGGCCAATTTGGTTTCAAAGTTCGAGCTCAGGAGCTATTCTCTCTAATATACACAACTCTGGTACCTGCACCCCGTCCATCGTCAGGTTGAATAAGATAAGCGAAGGGTGATATTTCTGTATTTTAGCAGTCATAAAAAGGCTGCGGGTGAGAAGTGAATAAACACAGAGCACTCTACATAATCTCGGAGCGATTATTTCGGGTGACGCTCGAGCACCGACGGTTCCAGTTTGTTTCGCTGCAACAGTAGCTAGGCCTATGATTCGCAGTGGAATTTGACTAGTTTTGATGCGTCATCATGACATCGAAACCGCTCATTCTGCAGGATTTCGAGCCGTATCTGAAGAAAAAAGTCCCTGGGACGTGGTTGGAGTACTTCCAACGGGGAGCAGACGCCCAACAGACTTTAGCTGACAACCCACTGGCTTTTCAAAAGTAATTCCTTGTTCGACCTTTGACCTGGATCGATGCGTACGTCGTTTTTTAATAGCCGGCTGTCTGCATGATTACTGGTGTGACCCATTGGCTAGTCACGCGTGGCTGTATTCCGAGTGACAGTCGGTGTGCCATACAAGAATAAGCCGAACCCGAAGCGACCTGAATAGGCCTGCGTGATGTCCCGCCATCCAGGGGAGGGTATACGGGTACCGGAAGTGTTTTCACGACATTCCTCCATACTGCTAGAAACGTATTTCTACAGTACTTTGGTCGCTGATTTTGCGATTTCGTGACTAGACCGAAGTTTGGAGTTGGTCCATCGCCGTTTCAAAATGACGGAAAATAAGCAATCGGCAATTTTTCGTAGCCTCCTAAATAATAGAATTAGGCCTATGTATCCTGAAATTCGTTATTGCAATCATGCAATAAACCAAATTAGATTTCTTCTTAAAAAAATGTGAATAGAGAGAGAGAGCAGCAGAAGTCAATCAATTTACCGAATATGGAGCAAGAATGACTCTTGTTAACAATGAGTATTCATTTGTGCTCTTTTCTCTGTGGGATGATTTAACTGTTTCTGGCAGCTGGAAACTGTCAATGATGATTCGCCATGACCAAAGAATATCATTAAAGTGCAAATGTAAACAAAGAGTGACGTCATCCGTACAGGGGCTTATTGAATTACGTAAGGGCCTTTGTCAGGAATTGAAATACGGTCAGTTCTTCAATTCCACGCCATAAAATGGTCAGGTTATAATTATAATCCTTGGCCATTTTAAAAGTGTATCGCCACGCTGCAATAAACAGTGAATAAATAAAAGCAAAAGAAATCAGAAATTTCGCACGAATGTTTAAGCTTTTAATTAAAGGAGATGATGGTCTGTACGTCGGTATCTTCGTTGTCTATTGTTTTCATTCAGTTGTTCGACAAAATATTTTAATGCTAGGTGTCCACTCGATATCAAAACCCGCTCCGAGTGAGTTTGCACTTTAGGATATGAACCGGTTTGAATCATTTCTTGGATGCGTAGATCATAAAACTTAAATTTCACTCCTTTCAATATTTTTCCTCCAACCTCGATGCAGGTATCGACTAAGGCCTCGCTGTTTGCGGGATGTATCTAAGCGGGACCTCAGCACCACTATATTGGGCCATCGTCTAGACTTTCCGATCGGTGTCTCTCCGACAGCCTATCAGGGCATGGTGCATCCCGAGGGAGAAATTGCTATGGCTAAAGGTAAGACATAGGCACGATGCTAGACAGAAATTCATTTTTTGCCATGTCGCACCACGGTACGGTCACAATGTATGATGTCCATGCTCGCTGTAGCACTGCGAATTTGGTCTATTTTCCCCCAAACCTAGAAGTTTATAGGGTAAATGATCAACGAGTAGCTGCATATTAAAAGTTGTTATAAAAAATAAGCTATTGGCGTATCTTACAAGGCATGTTATAGCCATCTTCAGATGGCATTTTTTCGGAGATTTTTGGACCTCGAGATCGGGACGCCATATTTGTTTTCAATTCTCGGTTGAGAAACGTCTTGAACTTATAGGAATAATTCAATATAAGGCTAAAACGAAGGTGTTGATTGGCTCCCTCAAAAGTCTAGGGAAAAAAATGAAAACCATAAGAAATGAAAAAAAATATCAAAGATCTTCCTGCAATAACGATTCGCGTGTTGATAGCGCCCTCTAAGAGTGTACGTGTGTAGTTTGTGTCACGGAATAACTACCGGGAGGTCCAAGACGTTCGTCGACGTGACGTGTCTTTGTTCAGCTGATTTGCACATTTTCTTACACCGGGTGAGGTCGCTCTTCGCCTAGATTTCGAGTGTCAGGTGCGCGCTGCACTGCCGTGCGCTGTGATGCGACGAATGACGAACGCCTTGACCAAGGCTGCCGGAGCCACTGTTGAGTAAAAGCCTTCAAAAGAATCTTGCACAATGTAAAGCAATAGGAACCCTCGACATGCAGTGAAATGTTTAGTTGAAATGTTCATCCCTAACGTCGCTCAATTTCACAGAGCCTTAATCTCAAATCGTTACTTCTATAGGCGTGGCTAGTGTTGGGTCAGCAATGGCTCTGAGCATATTTTCAAGCAAAGACTTGGAAGACGTAGCCGCCCCCCTTTCGTCCGAAACACCGCTGTTCCAACAGCTGAACGTGTTTTGCGACCGTCAAACCTTGGAGCGAACGGTCGAGCACACCGAGCACATAATAAAACGAGCCGAGAAGGCAGGCTTGAAGGGCATTGTGCTGACGGTCGATCAGGCAGTTTTCGGCAGGCAGCTAGCTGAACCAGTTGTCGCGCCCCCTTATTTAAAGTAAGTATACATGTACATGCTGTTCATCATTACTGCTGCGGTACACGTTTCTTATACAAAACTTGATCAATTAACGTTTTGTTGAAAGCACATCACTTATAATGAAGTAACGTGCATTTTGTGGAAAAACCTGCTGTTACCCCGAACGACGAACTTTGTTCGAATGTTCAAACATTGACATGAAATTAAAGTGCAGTGTTGGTAACGGAAGATACTGATGCGGTTAAAACTGGATACTCTAACAGCGTAAGTACCTATGACCCTTCAGAGATGTGCACGTTTTCTCAGAGCGCTTATTCATGATGTCGTCATAGGTTGATAGGCGAGCATGCGCAATATGTTGTAATAACGAACGGTCTTGGGTTACTCGAGGAGTCCAACTGGCCGTCAAAAGGCATATAAAATTTGTTACACAAATTCAAACTCTCGACAGCTGTGGACATCCACACACTTATTGAATTGAGTCAAAGTTGCCCCGGCATTAATCGGTCTGTGTGAACTATTTTACAACGGCATCAACTTTCCTTCACATTGTTCAACTAAGCTACCATGTTTTTACGTTGAATTGTGGGATACTTCACCAAGTAGGCCTACGTGTATAAATACATATACCAGTTACAGTTTAAACTTGAGAGGAGCACGGCACGGCCGGATTGAACCTATGGCTTGAACTGATCTCTGCTATCGACAATAGTTTGTTTATTTTACAATTTTGTTTTACAATTATTGTCAAGGTAACGAGCTATTATACGTACCACTAGACAGGTACGGAAGACCCACCATGGAATTAATTAGTACCTGAGAGACATGATTCTTGGCAGAAAATAACAGTTGGGTATGACATATCTTAACATTCACATTGTAAAGGTTTATATCGTTTAATTACACAAATCATGGCCACTTTGGGGGACAAGATACCACCCTTGCCTTTCCAACAATGGAAGGGGACTGCATAAGACTTGATTATAATTAGTCATAAGTATAAACCACAATGATGGTTTATCTTATTGTGGTCATTATTGGTGCACAAGACTGTTACCTTTTGATTTGGTTCTCAATGTTAAAAGCCATGTTGGCATGGCTGTGTCCGTTTTTCTTTGCAATGGGCAGAAACTCAGACTGAAAAAAGGAGCGTTTGATCAACTACCAAGGGAAAGCGTAGCTGAAAACGCAGTGCGCGCCATTATGAGGGCGATGAAATCATGAGCATAGTGACAAAATGTGTAAAATTGGCTCTGACTGAACAGTGCTCAATGCAAACATTTATTTGTTTTGCAGATATCCGCTTATCTCTCTTCCCAACGATCCTCATTTTGGTTTTGCAAGATTGAACTTTGACCCTTCAATGACCTGGGATGACATAGCATGGCTACGGAGTAAGACCTCTCTTCCAATCATTCTTAAGGGCGTTCTAACCGGTGAGTTAAACATTATGACATTTTGCACCACGATAATGTCCTCGTAATAGACCAGAGTTTCCGATACCCATTTTTTAAAAAAAGTTCCCTTGTTGGCTTTCAGGTTACAACCGCATCCTGTAGTCTTTGGTTGGTATGGGGAAAAGATGTGCACGAAATGTATAATTTACGAATTGGTATCAATTTTCACATTGCAGCTGAAGACGCGAAGGAAGCAGTCAGGCGCGGTGTGTCCGCTATCTGGGTTTCAAATCACGGTGGCCGACAACTGGACGGTGTATCAGCTTCGGTAAAAATGTTGAAAGTGTTTACGGACACTATGGGCCTTTTGTCGAATTTCAGCTTCGGCGGGCGCTCCGCAATGAATTCCAAGTTAGGAAGCCAGGAATTCGAGGAAAAACCTTTGAATCTGAGAGCATGGCGCTGTGTACTATAGCTGCTGTGAATGTGAAATGTGCCTGCCACACCAAATCACGTGACCGTGAGAAGCAGGCGCAGCCTCGTTGTGGCCGGTAGTGCTGCAGCCCTCGTGGTAATTCGTAAACGGCGGGCATATAAAGCCACAGGGTTGCGGGTTGGAGTCCAGCCTGGTGTCATGGTAGCGCATGCCCTTAGGCAAGGCACTTTGTCGTCCACTCATTGCTTTTCCCCACCCTGGAGTAATTGGGTACCAGTGAGAGCAGAGATAGCTGTTGTGTTTGATTTAGCTGCTGTGCGCCGAAATTGCTGTATGGAGCTGTATATTCCTCAGGGAGCTGAGATGGTATATTGGATGTTTTTATGGGCCCAATGAGTAGGGTTATTAATAACAGAAAGCGCTTTGATCTTAGTTGAAATCACCGTACAAAATATGTCATTATTATAGGAGTTGGTTGTGAAAGTATGAACAACGCTGAATATGGGAGACTGCCCTGGTTTTTTTTTTTTGCGTTACGGGTTAAGATTTCCATGAAATCCGCGTTCAAGAAAGCAAAGACTGTTCATGTCGATAATTTTTCAAATAAAATTTTCACCATCATAATGATATCAAAGAACTGTAAGACGTTAGAGTCATCAAAACCAGAGAGCCATTGAAAAATGGTTGGATTTCTGTAATTGTCCATCGCAGATAGACGCACTGCCCGAGGTGGTCGACGCCGTGCGTGGCTCTGATATCGAGGTGTATCTTGACGGAGGAATTCGTCAGGGCACCGATGTCCTCAAGGCTCTTGCTCTCGGCGCACGGGCCGTGTTCATCGGCCGACCGGCACTCTGGGGCCTCGCATACGATGTAAGTTTGGTCAGTCTTTCTCTCTGCTCAAATGATGAAGAACCAACAAGCAAAGGACAGTGAAAGTGTTGCTTTTTCAGATTTCTGCTGAGCTTCTAAGTTCAGTATGATTTTTGTGTTTTTTACCCAGAAAATGAGGAACTTTCAGAGAGGAATTACATGCGTTCCATGCATTCCTTCAACTTCCCCTATTGATCTTTCCCAAGTTTTCCTCGTTTATTACAAAAAACAAACGTATACTAAAGGTCGGTTCATGGACCTTGTCCGAAACACTTGGCTACGGCCGGAAATTACACACAACTCTACAGGAACTGTAGACTCGCGTGTAATTTCAAGCCGCAGCCAAATGATTCAGACGAGGCCATGCTACAGGCGAACGTGAAAGCGAAGCGAATTTTATGTCACGAAATATTTGCAGCGAAACTTCTGGCGAGTTGACAAGTGTTCATCTATCGATAATTCGCAGCGCGAATATTTGAGCTGCCCTGCTCTCATTAATTTGCGTTTGTGTTTGTTTTCGCACAACGTGTGAAACGGTCTCAAGTCTTGAAGTCACTGTGCGTTTCGAATTTGAGGATTAATGAGATTTAGTTGTCTGTCTTTTCATTTTTTTTCAGGGCGCAGCAGGAGTAAAGCAGGTCTTGGAAATCCTGCGAGACGAGTTGAGCAGAGCTATGGCGTTGAGTGGTATGATAGTGTTGTGCAAACCCGATCCGAAACCGACCTGACCCGAAACCGACCTGACTCGAAACCGACTACCGGTCGAATCGCATCGGTTTATCCGCCTTTTCATTCGGGTGGGATCGGTTTCGGTTTTAGATAAGCCGCTTTGGGGGAAAATCCAATAAGTAAGCCGGAAAAATAAGTCGAGACTCTCACTTCGTGTATTTTTAATGCAGAGTCACAGTGCCCGGTATGACCAAGGTGCGTGCCTTTTTCACAGGGTTTTTATTTTTACAGTCCACCCAGGACTATAACAAATGAAAAGAAAGAGGTAAAATTATTCTTCAGAGTTCTTGCAATGATTCCCCCCAAAATAATGCAAAGCAGATTAGTCCGGGCAGAAAGAAAGTAGACAAAATGCTGGAAGATTATTGAGTCTGAGCCAGATTGGTTTTTTTTTCGGGGGGGGGGTCGGTTTCGGGTTGGATCAGGTCGATTTTGCCTTGATTTTTGTCAGTTTGTGATTAAGTTCTTCTCTTGGGAGTTCCAATCGGTCTTTTGTCTGAGTCGGCATGTCATGTTTCTGGTCAGTCTGAATTAAGTTCGACCTGATGTGCAACATGTGCCTCGAGCTGGATCAAGAGAGGGTGTAATTTTCTTAGCAACTAGACTCCTTTGGTCGGACTTAGACTCCTTTGGTCGGACTTAGACTCCTTTGGCCGGAATTGAACTTTGCTGGTTCGCAAACGACTATGAAAGGCATGCGTCGCATCGCCACCATTGATCTCCATCAGTGATCGCCACCAACAAAATGGGAACCCGTGACCAACACTGCTCTTTTCAACCGATGAGGGGGTGCCGTCTGGGCTAATTTGGCACACAGTTCACCATGTATGCCTCGCTGTCATTTTCGAACATTCTACCAGACACATCATGCTCAGGATTTCAGTCGAACATTTATATTTTTGGTTTGTTTACCAGGTTGTTCATCAGTAGCTGACATAACGCCGGATTNGCCGGCACTCTGGGGCCTCGCATACGATGTAAGTTTGGTCAGTCTTTCTCTCTGCTCAAATGATGAAGAACCAACGAGCAAAGTACAGTGAAAGTGTTTTTTTTTTTCTTTTTCAGATTTCCGCTGAGCTTCTAAGTTCAGTATGATTTTTGTGTTTTCTACCCGGAAAATGATGAACTTTCACAGAGGAATTACATGCTTTCCTTCAACTTCCCCTATTGATCTTTCCTAAGTTTTCCTCGTTTATTACAAAAAACAAACCTATAAAGGTCGGTTCATGGACCTTGTCCGAAACACTTGACTACTGCCGGAAATTACACACAACTTTACAGGAACTGGCCGCGGCCACTACCATAGACTCGTGTGTAATTTCAAACCGCAGCCAAATGATTCAGACAAGGCCATGCTACAGGCGAACGTGAAAGCGAAGCGAATTTTATGTCCCGAAAGATTTGCAGCGAAACTTCTCGCGAGTTGACAGGTGTTCATGATTCGATAATTCGCAGCGCGAATATTTGAGCTGCCCTGCCCTCATTAATTTGCGTTTATGTTTGTTTTCGCACAACGTGTGAAACGGCCTCAAGTCTTGAAGTCACTGTGCGTTTCGAATTTGAGGATTAATGAGATTTAGTTGTTTGTCTTTTCATTTTTTTCAGGGCGCAGCAGGAGTAAAGCAGGTCTTGGAAATCCTTCGAGACGAGTTGAGCAGAGCTATGGCGTTGAGTGGTATGATAGTGTTGTGCAAACCCAATCCGAAACCTACCTGACTCGAAACCGACTACCGGTCGAATCGCATCGGTTTATCCGCCTTTTCATTCGGGTGGGATCGGTTTCGGTTTTAGATAAGCCGCTCTGAGGGAAAATCCAATAAGTAAGCCGGAAAAAATAGTCCAGACTCTCACTTCGTGTATTTCTAATGCATGAGTCACAGTACCCGGTACGACCAAGGTGCGTGCCTTTTTCACATGGTATTTATTTCTACAGTCCACCCATGACTATAACAAATTAAAAGAGAGAGACATAAAATTGTTGTTCAGAGTTCTTGCGATGATTTCCCCCCCCCCTCAAAAATGATGCAAAGCAGATTTTGGGGGGGGGGTCGGTTTCGCGTTGGATCAGGTCGATTTTGCCTTGATTTTTGTCAGTTTGTGATTAAGTTCTTCTCTTGGGAGTTCCGATCGGTCTTTTGTCGGAGTCGGCATGTGATGTTTCTGGTCAGTCTGAACTAAGTTCAACTCGACCTGATGCGCAACATAATGTGCCTCGAGCTGGACCAAGAGAGGGTGTAATTTTCGTAGCAACGGAGACTCCTTTGGTCGGAATTGAACTTCGCTGGTTCGCAAACGACTATGAAAGGCACGCGTTACGGTCGCATTGCCACCATTGATCTCCATCAGTGATCGCCACCAACAAAATGGGAACCCGTGACCAACACTGCTCTTTTCAACCGATGAGGGGGTGCTTCTGCTCGAGGAGGATACCGTCTGGGCTAATTTGGCACACAGTTCACCATGTATGCCTCGCTGTCATTTTCAAACATTATACCAGATACATAATTTTAGTCAAACGTTTATATTTTTTGTTTGTTTACCAGGTTGTTCATCAGTAGCTGACATAACGCCAGATC